ACTCTTTCGAGAGGCGGTGAATGTGGCATTAAATGCCGAGCACAACTTCAGGTCGGCTCGACCTGGCTGGAGCGCTAGTAGCGCAAGCTCTTCGAGCGGTCCAGAGCCGATGGACCTCAGCTATGCTGAAGATGAAGAAGCGGAAATTTTTGCTGCGGAGCAGCGTGCCGGCATCCGCCGATGCTTTGTGTGCAATAGCACTAAGCACTTGAGGGCATATTGCCCTCTGCGCAAGAAGCGCGTGGCTCCGGCAAGCCAATCCTCCGGGTCATCGCCGGGAAACGGCATTTCCCAGTAGGCGCGAAGCGGCCTACTGGGGAAGAACTGATTTCTGTTGTGCCTCAAGGAGTTAGAAGGCAACGGGGCTCAGCCCCGAAGAGAGCTGAGCTCTCTTACGAGAAGAGTGTGTGCAAGCCGGGCTTGCTGGTCGTTCAAGCGAACGTGAAGGGCTTTGCAAAGCCATGGAGAGTCTTGATTGACTCGGAAGCCTCGGGCAACTACGCCCGTCGCTCCACCCTAGAAGGGAGTCAGCTGTATGCTGAGGCACTGGAAGTGCCAACGAGAGATACGATCTCTGTCCGTCTCGCGACGGGGACACTGGTAACTGTGTCGAAGGTCTCTGTCGACCTTGAAGTGAAGTTTGAGAACTTCGATAGCGTGGAACGCTGCTTGGTCTTAGACCTGGATGCGAGGTATGACCTCATCCTTGGCATGGCATGGCTGGAACGACATGAGCCATGGATCGACTGGAAGTCGAAAACGCTGGGTGCGTCGCACCCTGCTCCTAGTGGAGCTTTGGTGAGTCATGAACCCACCTCTGCTAGGAAGCAGAAGCGCTTTTGGCGCGAGCACGAGGCCGAGGCGGCCGTAGTGCTGGACATTGGTATGTCCGAAATTGCTAGCAACGAGATTGCTGTTTGCCCTGAGGGCGTACGTGGTGCGGCACGTTATCCGCTGAGCGGTGCAGGTCAGGTCAATGACCAACTGCTGGGTCCTGGTGAGGACGAGCGCGGAGTGGCGCGTAATCCACTGAGTGGTATGAATCTGGTCGATGACCTACTGCTGCGTGACCCGAGGGTCGCGGTCGACTGCGAGTCGAGGCATCATGGGCGTGGCCCAGGAGATGCAGGTGAAGTGACACCTAGTTCACTGTGTGAAGGTCAAGAACCTCTTGGCTTTCAGCCGAGTGTCTTGCGAGACACTGTATCCTCTTCGAGGAGTGATGGTGCTGCTGCACCCGGTGGTGGTGACGGAGATGTCGCCACACCGCTCTCATCCGGCCGGGCTCGGTCGCGGAGGGAGAGGAGAAGAAGACGCAGGGCGTCTGTGACGTCTTCGACGTCGGACGATGTGTCCAACGTGACGAGCGGTGATGCTCCACGTGATTGCTGTGAACAGCTGTATACACTCGTGAACGGAGTGACGGGGGAGGTAGAAGGCGATATCAGCCTTGATACTCTGCCCGCTGCAGATGCTCTGCTAGAGCTGGACGAGATGTCCATTGCCGAGTTCGGCGAAGCCTTAAAGGCAGGCGAGCTAGCCGAGGTGGTCTTGCTGGGACCTGAGTAGGAGTTGAACTTCTCATCCGTCGTGGACGACGCGGTCCTAGAGGACACCAAGAAGGCGCTGAGCGCAAGAAGTTGATCGGCGATACTCAAAGATCCTTCGGATCCCTTCTACCCGGTGGTGAAGGAGTATGGAGACGTTGTCTCGAAAGACCCATCGACGGGCCTGCCTCCGGATCGAGGCGTGTGTCATGAGATTGACCTGGTTCCTGGAACCAAATACTGCGTAACAAGGCAATGGCCTTTGCCGAGAGAGCAGTGTGACGTCATTGACGCATTCTTCCGTGCGAAGCACGAGGCGGGGATGGTGCGTGAGAGTAAGTCTCCGCACTCGACACCCACGTTTTGTGTCAGAAAGCCGAACGGCAAGTGGCGCATTGTTCATGTTTTCAACAAGCTAAATGCGGCCACTATCCCGGCGCAAACGCCGATTCCTCGCAAGAATGTTCTGCAGAACAACATGGTAGGCTGTACGTTGTACAGCGCGCTCGACTTGGTCGATGGCTACTACCAATTGCTCATGAGAGCGAGCGACATTCCGCTGACAGCGGTGAGTACTCCGAGCGGTATGCTCTGGGAGTGGCTGGTGATGCCCCAGGGGCTGTCGAACGCACCAGCAACGTTCAATCGTCTTGTGACGCAGTTGTTTAGGCTCCACCGGGCGTACGCTCAAACGTACTTTGACGATATATTCGTCCATAGTCGTGCTGAGCACGGAAAGATAGACGTGGAAAACCACATTGACCACTTGCGAGCGGTGCTCGAGTGCATGTGCACTAATAAGTTGTATGCCAACTTGGACAAGTGCGTCTTTGGCGCGGAGGAAATACCTTTCCTCGGGTGCTTCATTAGGAAGCGAGGCTTAAGGGCAGATCCTGCCAAAGTCAAGGCCATCGTGGACTGGCCGGTTCCCAAAAACCAAAAGGACTTACGCAAGTGGCTAGGCTTAGCCAATTACTTGCACAAGTACAGCGCAAACTACGCGGAGATGGCTCGGCCATTATCAGATCTCCTTAAGAAGGACGCACCATGGTGCTGAAACGTCGAGCACGACGGAGCCTTTGAGGCTGTGAAGGAGAGCCTTCTCCTGGCTCCGAACCTTGCGCTACCGGACCCGGATAGTCCGTTTAGCGTCATATGTGACGACTCCGATTTTGCAATCGGTTGTGCTTTACTACAAGCAGACGCCGAAGGGCGTGAACGCGTGATCGCGTTTGAGTCTCGCCAGCTCAAAGCTGCAGAGAAGAACTATCCAGTTCATGACAAAGAGCTACTTGCAATGAAGTATGCTCTAGTCAAATTCAGGGTACACCTGCTAGGCTCTAAGCCTTTTGTGATCTTTACTGATCATGCGTCGTTACGCACTGCGACACAGTCGCCTCATCTCTCTCAGAGAATGGCAAGATGGCTTTCCTTCTTTGCCGAGTATAGCTTCGAGGTGAAGTACAAGCCGGGGCGGCTTAATGTAGTGGCCGATGCGCTCTCGCGCAGGCCGGACTACGAGTTAGCTCATGTCACGACAGTGACGTCGTCAGTGCCTGACTTGATACACGGAGCGTATGCACAAGACGACATGTGCGTAGCGCTGCTACGGGCTCTTGGGAGCGAAGAGTTTAAAGACTCTGACAAGGAATTGTCTGGGCGCTTACGCGCGAGGCTGCATCGATACTCGCTCGATGGCGGCCTGCTGTACTACAGCACCGACTCTGATAATGACCCTCGTGTAGTCGTTCCTCATGATGAGGATCTAAAGTATCGAATCCTCTATGAGGTTCATGATACGCCCGTGGGCGGGCACTTAGGTCGGGAGAAGACCTATGGCTCGGTGAGCTCGATGTACTGGTGGCCCAAGATGTATAAGTGGG